TCCCCCCGCCACCCGCCGTACCCCATGATTTCTCATCACTCGCGCTGTTAAGAAAGACAAGGAGAGGGTAGCGGAGGGAGGAGAGAATAAGTAAAGTGCGGCGAAACGGAAGGGAAAAGTGTGATGGATGTGGATGAGGATGAGGAGGGTCGAGGTGCGCTTTCGATAAAAGCCAAGTTCAAATTTAAATCGCCGCGAGTTTCTGCGCGCGCGCGCGCGCGCGCCGCCCCGCTGGAGACGGCTGGCGACGACCGCCGCGCGCCTTGCGGGCGTTTCCGGAACTACTCGTCAGTCTGTGCCGAGCACCGAGCCGGGCGCCCGCCGCCCGGGCGACGGGCCGGCGGCCGGCTCCATCGCGACTACATTCAGGAAAAGTGTCGATAAGCGCGACGGTCATCCGTTATGAACTGTCCGAGTGTCGCACGGCTTCGCATCCCGGACGCGACAGGTTAGAACCTGACCGCTGGTTACGTCCTTCAGCTGTGGGCGACACGGCCGGGCCGGCGGCGGCGGCGGTGTGACGAGGTTAGGAGACGGCGCCGCCGGGCGGACAGACAGAGACGACGAGCCAAATCACAACAAACAGCAGCGGCTGCAGCAGCAGGCCGAGGAGCGGCGGAAGGTAAGTCACAACAACGCCATTACCTCGGCTGTTGTTTTTGTACCCCCACCCCCTTTCCCCCTTTTCTTCTCTTCCTCGTCGCCGCCCCCGAGCTGTCTATCTGTCTGTGTCTGTATGTCTGTCCGTCTGTGTATGTGTGTCTCTGTGTGCGTGTGTGTGCGTGTGCGCGCGCACGCGTGTGTGAGACTGTGTGTCTTTATGCGTGATTGAGCGGCAGTTGAGCTGCAGCAGCAAAACCTTGGGCCTTGGGTGGTGGCCACCGAGCCAAATGAGGTTTAGGCCCTGTGTGTGTGTGTGTGTGTTCGTGTGTGTCCAGGGGGGAGGGGTTGGGTGGATGTATGCGTCTGTGTGTTGACTCTAGGCTCCCCGATATGCAGGCAGGCTAAACTTACTCGCGTTTTGTGATTCTTGTGTTTTGCTTACACTCTGCCCCCCCTTCGCCCTCCTGCGCCCGCGCCCCTCTCCCCGAGCTGTGCTTGTCCGTCCACTGCTCGCGTAGCGCTTGGCAGCTGTTCGGCCGCAGCGGCTCCTGCCTGCATGTCTTATTGGGCTTCTCTACAAGGGAGTGTAATTACATATCGACTCGAAATGATTTAACTGCCGTTTAGCGGCGCTCGGGAAGCGGTGTAACAATTTTGTTGCGTTTCTGATTCGGATATGAATTTCTGCTGTGCGCTGTTGGTTCTGGAGGGCTTCGAGTCGGGACCAGGACTATGGTCGCGAGGTAAGGAGAGATGCACACTTAGTTGGTGTAAACACTAAATATTTCATAAAGGGGTGGACGCTAACTGATTAATGGAGAAAATAGTTAATTTCGCATGATGATCTGGGGGGTAAACAACCTATTCCCCTAACGGATTTCTCTCTAAGCCCCCCCCACCCCCCACCCCACGCCCATCCCCGACTCTCATTCATTGCCCTCCGCCCGACATACCCCTGTTCAGTAGTGGTCTCGGAATGGGAACGTTACAAGTGGTATAGAATAAAGCATTCCGGTAAAGCCGAAATGCAGAAGAATGCGGGTAAGAAGATAACGGAAATCGCTATGATTTAACATGGTGACTTCCGTTTTCTTGTTCCCTGCATTCTTCTGCATTTCAGCTTTACCGGAATGCTTTATTTCCCAGGAGAGAAGTACTCTCCTATGGCAACTTTAGGGCAATGATGATGGTAAATCACAGCAATCATATCGTATGCGAAGCCGGTTTGGGTAAAGAGGGAGGGAGGGAGGGGGGGGGGGGGCACTAAAACAAATACTGGCTTGGAGGGTTTTGTAGGGAGCCGGTCGGGAATGGGTCTCTGCCCACAAAAGAGTGACCTTGGGAAATCTAAATTCACGCTAAAATGGCCCTGAGGGTTCGCGTACAGAATGACGGGACGGGATGGACGGCCTCGGCGGAGGCGAAGTCACGGTGGTGGTGCCAACTTCGCACCGACACGCGGCGCACCACACGCAGCGCGGTTGACTTTCTCATATCAGGAAAAGGAAAGAGGGTGGCGGTGCGAGTGAGAGGCAGGGGCAGGGCGCAGGCCGCAGCTGGTTGACCACCGTCGAGATGGTATGAGAAACCTTCATTCCGTAAATGTTCCTGCGGGCAGCGCTGCCGCTACGATGAGCTGCTGAACGCTACCCCCTCGCCCCCCTTACCCTCCCCCTCTGTGCCCACCGCCCGGCCGCTAATGTCGGGTACTTTTCAGCTGCCAACACATCGGTAATGAATAGGTCCGGAGAAAAAAACAGATAAATCTCTGTGGCTCCGCTTGTGCTCCGCTCGGCTCCGCTCCTGTGCGACGGCTTGGCTGACGCGATTGGATACAACCCCGCATCTATCGCCGGATGTCCGCCCTGGGGATGGGGTCGGGGGCGGGAGCCATGGGTGGGGCGGGCGCTGGCGCCTCGTCGTTTGCAAAAAAAAAAAAAAATGGGGAAAAAATCCGTTGCTGCTGTGTTGGACTGAGAGCTGCCGGCGGCGGTGCTGCGACTGCTAACAAAACGATCGGTAAACATGTTTTGCTTCTATGATTTACCACCTGTCGCACTATGCGTTTTCTTGTTGATTTCTTTTTCTATACTTCTTTCCGCAATGCGAGTCCCTTAGTCGTTCTCATATCACTAATATACCTTTTAAATAAAAAAGAAACTATTTTACACATTAGGTGAAAAATTGTGCATCAAAAAAAGCTCTCCCGACTCACCTCGACGAAAATGAAATAGAGACTTAAATGAAATAGAAAATGTCCCTATCGTTAAACGCCCCCCCCCCTTTTGTCACACACTTTCCTCGGTAACTATCACAAACTCTTGTAGTAATTGGCTGTTCCACTGTTCCACACTGTGTAAAAGCCGTTGTTGGTGCGACGCCTGCGAGGCGCACCCCTTCGTAAATAAAATGAGACGTTTGTTGCCAACCTTGAACAAGTTGCGCTGGCGCTCTGCGCGCTCTGCGCGCTCTGCGCGCTCTGCCGCGTCGTGTGTCTGCTGGGCTGGGCGGGGGACGCCGGGACGCCACGCGGGACGCGGGGGGTCATAATCGAGGCGAATAAGTAGGCTTTCTCTCCATTTCTTAAAGGGTAGTGGTTATGGTGTAGTCGTAGTGCAAGCGAGCCTGCGTAAATGTGTGTATACGCCACGCATGCACGCACATAGCCTACGTGTGTGTGTGTGTGTGTGTGTGTGTGTGTGTGTGTGTGTGTGTGTGTGTGTACGTGTACGCGCGCGCGCCTGTGTGTGTTTGTGTGCGTACGAGTGTGCACGTTATGCGGAGGACAGTGCGAGTAGTGTTACTGTCCCCAAGTATACTCCCCCCAAGTCAACGCCACCCCCTCCCCCATTAAATGGGCTCTTAATTACCCTCCCCCTCCGGTCAACCCTCCCCCTCTATC